GCTGTTATTACATCTCTTTTACAAAAGGGAAGTTTAGTACCTTGCCCAAGATTATACATTGAGTAAATGGTGGAGTTGGGATTGAAATCCAGGTGGTCTGATTCCAGAGTCTATACTCTTAAGAGCAGGAACAATAATAACTCCAAGCATTTATTAAATTCTCAAGACTAATCAGGCACCATGGTACATGCTTGTATTCAAGCAGAGGCTGGTGATCATCTTTTAGAAATATTTTAAAAATGATTACTTAATTGGATAGAAATTAAATTTCTTGAATTACAAGGTTCTGTTATTCCAAGGATGGCTGGAATTGGGGGAAAGGCCAGCAACAATATCTGGCCTCAGGCTTTTAAGATGATCACAATTTGTATCAAAAAGGAAACTGTGAACATGAATGATAAGTATTATAGGAATTCAGTTAACAAGTCTTGTCAGAATGTGGTAATAAATTATATATAACTTAAAGAGATTAAGTTAAATTGTGTGTAGAAGCCTTAGAAAAGTGGAAGAATTAAAGTTTCTTGGGAAAATTGTCTCCTTTTTTAAATGTTTAGTTTCAAATAGTGGCGGGACTTATTAGGGTAGAGAGATGACTTTTAGAAAACTGAACATATGGGACTCGAGCAGTGTATTTTGGAGTCAGTTACATGAAGGTAGTTATTTTAAACCAAGTGAACAACAACAGTAATGAATGCATATGAGGGAAACAGCAGTGCAGCCCAGACTTAAACATTAAGGTGGCTATAATAGATGGGGAAGAAGGAGAAGAGAAATCAGCTATCCAGACTAAGACTTCACTGGGCTTTGAGATGGACAGACGGAGTCATAGAAGCCAAGGTAAAATGATTAAAATGGTGCGTGGAGTGGCAGTTCTCCCAGTAGGAGAGAGAATTTTCTTATGAAGTCTCAGATGAGACCACTGAACTTGACACAGGGAAGTAATTGTTCTTAGAAAACAGTTTCTAAGCAGTAATTAGAATTGAAGTTTTGTTGCAGAGGGATAAGTAAGAAGCAGATGGAAAAGAAAGAGAAATATCTGAAATTAGGCTACAGTCATAGAAGGTTAGTTGTGAAAGAAGAATTTAGAAAGGGAAATGGGACTTCATGAAAATGTAGGTTAAAGAGACTTGTATATGTTTTAAGGTAAAAGTAAAGAACTAAGCTGGTGTCCAGCCCTCTAGAACATTTTAAATAGAAATCAAATCTTTATTATATTAATACTAACAGTAGGTCTAGTTTCAAATAAAGCCAATATGTGGTTCTGTACATGGGCTTTAGGAGAGTAAGTATGTTGTTCCTCGTATCTAAGTATTATCCCATTTAGAGGAAAACTCGATAAGTCCTTCTTCACAGTGGCTTAAATGCCCCAACTGATCCACACAGTTACAGCTCTCATCTATTTTCTGTTGCTGCAGGTCTCCTTGCTGTTCCTCAGATATGCCAGCGCTGCTCTCTCAGCAGATGCCTTTGCATCTGCTGCTCACTTTCTCTTGAATGTGTTTCCCTAAGATGCCTGAATGATTACTCTCACCTTATTCAGGTCTCAACTCAAGTATTACCTTCTCAGTGAAGGCCTTCTCTGATTTTCCTGTTTTAAACTGAGACACTTCTCTTTACTCACCCCACATTCCCATCCCCAACTCCATTCCTTCCTGTTTTATTTTTTTTTCATAGCACTTAACTCTGTCTAACATGGCATCTTTTACTTAGTAATTTTGTTTTCTTCTTCCCCTATTAGAATTTCAACTCCGTAAGTGCAAGACTTTTTCTAGTACTAGAAAAATGCCTGGTGCATAATAGTATTATTATGTATTATTACTAATATTACATATTAGTAAGTGTACTAATTGTTGCATGAATGAATGATTTTAATATTCTTTGTGGAAACTAATAGGTTTGATTTCCTATCAGAAACCGATTATTATTAATAAGCATACTGGATGGTATTTATAGAATTAAGCTTCATATATTCTTTACTCAGAGGTTGGCAAACTTTTTCTGTAAAGTGCCGGAGAGTAATTACTTTTGCAGGCTTTGTGGTCTCATTACAGCAACTTGCCCTGTTGTTATAGTGCAAAATCAGCTATAGACCATCTATCAATGAATGAGCATGGCTATGTTTCAGTAATACTATGGACACTGAAATTTGAATTTTATATAATTTTGAAATGTCAGAAAATATCCTTCTTTTGTTTTTTTCTTAATCATTTAAAAACGTAAAAACTATTCTTAGTTCACAGGCCAAACAAAAACAGGCAGTGGTCCAAATTAGACTTGCAAACTGTACTTTGCCAATCTCTGCTTTTACTGATTTCTTAGATATATCTTAGTTAAAACTTATTTTTCCATATACTTAATAGGGAAAAGCAATGTGAATTAAGCTATAGAAACAAATAATTTAGAAATATATCTGTTTAGCTTTAGAAACTTCCATTTTGCTTCATTTTTGTTTTCCTGGGAACTTATATTTCCATCATGTTTATGATGCTACCATTTAAATGAGTTTGCATCCTCTTAGCGTGTGCCACATGATAGTGTTGGGAGTGGTGTAATAGTTCAGGAGCGAAGCTGGGCAAAGCCTACCCAGGTTTAAAAATTTGCCATGATTTAAAAGGTGCATAATTCCCATATGGGAGAATCAAGAGTCGTCTAATAATGCCCAGAGGACTGCACTGGAAATGAGAACTGTGTTGCAGTTTTTAACATCATTCATAACACATTTCTTGAATAAGCCGCAGTGCTTTTAATAATATCTCAGAGTTAACTTTAGCTATGCTACATTGGCACTTTTTGCTCCTCCACTTAAAATAACAAACACAAGAAACTATTCTCAAATCAAGCTGTGATTTGGATAGGGCATTGCATTTTCCTCAGTAAGCACAAAGAAGAGAGAAAAAAAGCAAAACTTTTTTTTTTTTTTAATTGAGATGGAATCTTGCTGTCACTTGGGCTGGAGTGCAGTGGTGCAGTCTCGGCTCACTGTAACCTCCGCCTCCTGGGTTCAAGCAGTTCTCATGCCTCAGCCTCCTGAGTAGCTGGGATTACAAGTGTGCGCCACCAGGCCAGGCTAATTTTTGTATTTTTAGTAGAGCCGAGGTTTCACCGTGTTGGCCAGGCCGGTCTTAAATTCCTGACCTCAGATAATCTCCCCACTTCTGCCTCCCAAAGTGCTGGGATTATAGGCATGACCATGCTTGGCCCACTTGCAAAACTTTTTAATATTTATAAGGTTTTTTATATACTTGATTTTGTTCAGTTCTCACAATAATCTTCTGATGTAGGTGGCCTTATTAACTATTTACAGTGTGAGAGAATGGTTAGTCAGTGAGGATAAGTAACTTGTCCAAGGTCACAACGCTAGGACTCCAAACAAGACCCTCTGACCTTCTTAGGTAAGACTCCTCATGGTTACCTACATGCCATGTTTGGTTTCAGTGCTGTGAACTTTCTTCACTGCCTATTGGTCTCCAGTTTCACCTACTCATGAAGATGCCCAGAGCCCTAGCTGCTCCTGGTTCTGCCATGCTTCTCTTACACAGCTCTGTGAGGGGTGAAGAGCCTGTCGCCAGTTACCTCACTAACACTGTAGCTATTCACCAGCCCTGTTTTCTCCTCTAGCCATTTTAGCTACTATGCAATTCTGCGTATGTTCTATCTTAGTTTCTTAATATCTGGCCTGCCTTCTCTTCTCAGTAACTGTGACCCCTGCAGAGCTTACCTTGCCATCAGTGGTTAATGAAAGGTCTTGGATATGACTGTCAAAGACAAAAGCACTCATGACCTCAGAGTTTCAGGTCAGAGTGATTAGGAAAATCAGGACACTAGGGCTTGGGCACAGGAAGAGCTGGTTTTTGAGGGGGAGATTTCAAGTTTGGTTTAAATGTGTAATCTTTGAGGTAATGATGGAACAGCCTACTAGATGCAGTTTTTTAGTCCCTGAAAGCTAAAACAAGGAATATGAATCACATATTTGGGGCACCAGCCAAATAGCAGCATTTATAGTTAGAATCAAAGTCTTTGTGTTTCTTAATTTAAATGCTTCTCAGAGATTCCATTTTAAAAACTTGGTTATGAAAATGGAGACTTATCATGCCTTTTTGATACTGTTCAGAGAAAATTTTCATAAATATTATACACAGTTTGAAATGGTTGTGCATCTCATGAATCAAGGGGTGGCATATAAAAAGGTTTCTCAGTGCCCCGATGTGGAGAATATCACAGATTATTATTCTTCAGTTGTTTTCCTCCTTTACTTTGGTGTTTATATGGTATCTTAGATATTTTATGTTATTTTAATTGTATTTTGTGCCTTTTTATTTGGTTAAAAAATGCCTACTACTTAATATTAACAGATTTTTAAATATCCCTTTGAACCCTTCCCCATTTCTGTACCTCCTTTCCCTTTTTCTGTTGTAACATCAACCACCTGAAGATAACCCAGAAATCTAGGTATAGGCCAGTTGATGTTTCACTGGAAACGAGACAAAGAACTTACTATTTCTCAATGCTTAATTGAGGAAATTCACATGGTATCTTACATATTTTAAATTGGAGGGGATAAGAGGGCCAGGTTTATGCATTATCTTGTAGACATCTTAATCCTATCAAATGGCTTAGTCAAAATGAGAAAGATAATTTCAGGAGACAAGTAGGAACAATACTCTAAAAAAGGTGCTATTACATAATCCCAGCCTGTACACACGTGAAAAAAAGCTGTAGTGCATTTTGCCTTTGAATAGGGGTCACATTGACTGGCCATAGCAGACCCTGCTGGACCATACACCTGGTACTCTGTCTCCAAGACTTAAAAGGACATGGGAGTATGTGGTTAAGTTCTCCGAGCACTCCTTCTTCTAAAGGGGGGCAGTTTTAGAGGTGGAACCTGTAGGTCTCTTGATTCACAAGCTCGTGCTTTCTTGAATGGACTGCATTTCCTACTGTGAGCTTGTGGACTCACAAGAAGTTAGATGTTTTCATGGACTCTTCTCTTTTCTATACAGATGTCCAGAGGGCTTCTTGGGAGAATACTGTCAACATCGAGACCCCTGTGAGAAGAACCGCTGCCAGAATGGTGGGACTTGTGTGGCCCAGGCCATGCTGGGGAAAGCGACATGCCGATGCGCCTCCGGGTTCACAGGAGAGGACTGCCAGTACTCGACATCTCACCCCTGCTTTGTGTCTCGCCCCTGTCTGAATGGTGGCACATGCCATATGCTCAGCCGGGGTACCTATGAGTGCACCTGCCAAGTTGGGTTTACAGGTAACTAATAGAATTAAAGCCTGTGCTTTCCTATCCTCAGCAGATACCTTTACTTAGCGTCTTTTAGATCATAGTGTCTGGTCATTAAGACTGCCCCAGCTCTGGTGCACATTTAAATTAATGATAAGGAACTGGGATGTTCCATACAACTATCCCTAACTTCCTTTGAGAGTTTTAACGGGCAGAGAAAGAGAAAGAAAAAGGACCAAATAAATACTTTGACTGCTTAAAGTATATATGTCAGGGCCAGGTACAGTGGCACACACCTGCAATCCCAGCATTTTGGCAGGCCAAGGCAGGAGGACCACTTTAAGCCAGGAGTTTGAGACCAGCCTGGGAAACATGGCAAGACCCCATCTCTTCAAAAGATAAGAATACGAATAAAACAAAATTAGCCACATATGGTGGTGTGCTCCTGTAGTCCTAATTACTTGGGAGACTGAAGTGGGAGAATTGCTTGAGCCCGGGAGTTTGAGGCTGCAGTGAGCTATGATCGCACCACTGCACTCCAGCCTGGGTGACAGAGTGAGATCCTGTCTCAAAAAAAAGTATGTATGTTTAGATGGGGAATCAGAGTTACTTCACTAAGAGAAAGAAGTACACTGTCATCAGAGGAAAAGTTGCCGATGTTATTGACTGCTTACTTTTAGAAATCTCCCTCCTTACACATTTAGGGCACTGGATTTTCTGGTTTTCTGAACCCTGTTCCTTTTGGTTCTTCATTGCCTTGTTCTTATCCATTAAATGTTTGTGCTTCCTGGAACACTGTTTTGCACCCTCTTTTGAGCCCCATCATAGCTCTCCTGAGGGAATTTCACGTCTTTAATTGCTTCCATTGCCGCTATCTTCATCAGTTGCTGATGAATCTCACTGTCACTCCCTTAGCTCCACCCAGCCCTGACATTCATGTTCTCCTTGGAGATATTCTACAGGTGCCTTCAGCTCACCATGTTGATAGAAATATGTAGCAACACTCTACACCCCAGATATCCAAGCTGGAAACTCCCTGTCGCTTGTTCTTACCTCACTTCAACTCAGTCACCCAACCTAACCTCTGAATTGCTTCTCACCTGTCTATTCCTCCTGTATCCTCTGCTGCCCTGTAGTTGAGGGCCATGTTATCTCTCATCTGGACTTCTGAAGTAGTTTCTGAATAGGTTTCCTTGCCTTTATTCTCTCCTCATCTCAGTCCCCCATGATGTTGCTACATCTTTAATTATAAATGCAAATATTCCAACAATCTCACCTGCTTACAATGTCTAATATTTTTCATTATCCATAGAATAAACTGAAAACTCTTGTACATGGCGTCTATAGCTCTTTACAACCTAAGCTTTACATCATTTTGTGGCCTGACCTCCCCACAAGCATCTAGGCCTGGTCACACCAAATTCTCCACATTTCCTGAAAATGTCATACTTGTCATCGCCTCTGTACAGTTACACATCCTTTTGCCTGGAATGCCCTTTTCTACAATTGGTGATTGTCCAATGCTATTTAAAACTGTGTCTTAGTGACCCCTTCATGATTTCTTTAGGCAGTTGGCCTCTAAGTTTTATTATTTTTATGCATCACATTTTGTTGTAATTTTTTACACATCTCTCACCTGAATAGATTGTGGGTTTTTCTAGGTGGGTCTGAGCTTTATTCAAAAGTGTTTATTAAATTAGAAAAGGGGAAACGTTCTTCATTTTTTCTCCCACAATAAGCTCTAAACCAAGAGTTCCATGAATGCAATAAGCAAAAAGATGAAAAATGTGGTCAGAAAACGATACTGAATCAGTTAGTGTAGAGGACACCGTTATATTAATTTTTCATTGCATTAGTCAGCGTTCTCTAGAGGGACAGAACTAATGGAAGATATGTGTGTGTGTGTGTGTGTATATATATATATATATATAGAGAGAGAGAGAGAGAGAGAGAGAGAGAGAGAGGGAGGGAGGGAGAGAGAGAGGGAGAGAGAGCGCAGAGTTTAAGTATTAATCCACATGATCACAAGGTCCCACAGTAGGCTGTCTGCAGGCTGAGGAACAAGGAGAACCAGTCTGAGTTCCAAAACCGAAAAATTTGAGGTTATATTTGAAGGCAGGAAGCATCCAGCACGGGAGAAAGATGCAGGCTGAGAGGCTAGGCCAGTCGCACTTTGTCACATTTTTCTGCCTGCTTTATATTTGCTGACAGCTGATTCGATGGTGCCCATCCAGATTAGGGATCAGTCTGTCTTCCCTAGCCCGCTGACTCAAATGTTAATATCTTTTGGCAACACCATCACAGACACACCCAAGATCAGTACTTTGTATCCTTCAATTCAATCAAGTTGACAGTTTTAACCATTACAAGTCTGCCCTTTGTCAATTTGAACTCATACACATCTCCTGAGATCATACGTAATCTTCAAATAATGACAATAGTAAGGTCATAATTATGCCTAACATAGTATAGCTATTCTTCATACAACCGGAAATGCACCAATCCCCAACCTAAATACTTTAAGTTAACAATACTTAAATGCTGATGTGAAGTCAATAAATCTTATGTCACATGATAAAGAAGAAAGGAAATAAAATGAAGATATTTTCTTAGTACAAGTGTGTACTTGCATAGACATGTTGTTAACAAAAGAAGGAGGGAAATACTCAGGACAATTACACTACTTCTTTCTGCAGCTGGTCATGTGGTAGTAGCTGGTATTGATGACTACCTTCTTCTACTACCCATTCTGTATTCCCTTTGCCTTCAGCAAGCACCTCAGCAGTCATGATGTTTTTCCTTGTGAAGAGGCCCAAACCTTTATTCCTGAGGGATTGGGCTGTTGTAATTTCCCATTGACTTTAATCACAGGGCATGGTAATACTAAGAGGCCCTAATGGATCTCCTGTATTCTATGTATACTCTTCCTTAACTCCATTGTGGAGTAGTAGACTGATTTCATCTTGATAGCCTGGGTCAGTTACCCCAGCCAACACGGTAACTCTCTTCTTCTTAGCTTGTTGAGTTAAAGGTAGGAGGAACCCAAAGTGTCCTGGTGGCAACCTTAACTTCCAGTTTAATGGAATCGCTGTTGTGTCTCCTGGTGGCAGCGTTCCTCCCTCCGGAACTAAGACCTCTAGGCCAGCAGAGCTGTCGCAGGAACAGGAAGCAAAAATTTTGCTGTTGGATCACTAGGGGCAGTGGTGAGTGGTGCCATGTCCACTTCCACCCCTTGATTCCTGGACCTATAAATCCTGGCCATGGTAGGAACAGTAGTATATATTGGATGCTGATTCAGAGCATACACAGCCTTCTTGAGAACTTTGCCCCAGCCCTGCAAAATATTGTCACCTAGTTGGCATTGTAATTGTGACTGCAAAAGGCCATTCCATCGTTTTGTCAATCCAGCTGCTTCGAGATGATTGGGAACATGGTAAGACCAGTGAATTCCATGAGCATGAGCCCACTGCTACACTTTTTTAGCTGTGAAGTGAGTGCCTTGGTCAGAGGCAATGGTGTGTGAAATACCATGATGGTGGATAAGACATTCTTTGAGTCTGCAACTAGTAGTCTTGGCAGAAGCATTGTGTGCAGGATAGGCAAACATGTATCTGGAGTAGGTGTTTATTCCATTGAGGACAAACCTCTTCCCTTTCCATGATGGAAGAAGTCCAATATAATCAACCTGTCACCAGGTAGCTGGCTGATCACCCTGAGGAGTAGTGCCATATTAAGAGCTCAGTGTTGGTTTTTGTTGCTGGCAAATTGGGCACTCAGCAGTGGCATTAGCCAGGTCAGCTTTCCACTGGCCTGTCTCGCCTTCCACACTGGGAAGGTGGAGCACAAGCACACGTGTTAGGACTGGAAAGATGGTGAACTATGCCTCAGCAGGGCGAAGGTACGTAGTGATCCTGATGTGCAAATTGGTCATCTGACCTGCTTGTAGGGGCCAAATATTAATCCAACCATCTAGTAATTGGTTCCCTGTGAAGTTTCTCTCTGGATAGCTGGCACTCTTGCAAAACCCCCATTTTCAGTAGAGCTGAATTTACTGTATTGGTCCATTTTCACACTGCTGATAAAACAGAGGTTTAATTGGACTAACAGTTCCGCTTGGCTGGGGAGGCCTCAGAACTATGGTGGGAGGCAAAACGCACTTCTTACTTGGTGGTGGCAGGAGAAAATTAGGATGAAGCAAAAGTGGAAACCCCTGATACATCCGTCACATCTCATGAGACTTATTCACTATCACCAGAATAGCATGGGAAAGACCAGCTCCCATAATTCAGTTACCTACCCCTGGGTCTCTCCCATAACATGTGGGAGTTCTGGGAGATACAATTCAAGTTGAGATTGGGGTGGGGACACAGCCAAACCATATCATTCATCAAAACATGTTGGTGGGAATAGAGGGTAGTTACGATGATCCATTATCTCCATCGTGACTATGATAGCATTGATGATGTAAGTCATTGAAAATACTTGGTGGTTGTAAGAACAATTTCTTCCTGATTGTCAACTTTGAGTTGCTTTGCTATTAGGCAAAGTGGAGGGGCACAAATCCATTTAAAATATTTTAATTCTGACTGGTGGAAATGACAGTAATGCCTTCTTCATAATTAAAATATCTCTCTGAAATGGTCCCCAAATCAAAGCTTCTTCTTTTGCCATTAAAAGGGATCTCTTCTTGGTATTTTGTAAGGTTCTGATCATCTTTTATACATTTGCTACTTTTGTCTGTCACTTTAGGAATCATCACAGATCAAGGTCATCCTTTTAGTTTTTATGGTAGCTCTGTACCTCAGTGAGACCTTACTAGCTCATTTCTACTCAGAGGTGAAGAAGCAGAGGGAGAAAGTTAATGCCTATGCATAATATGTATGGAAACCAAATTCAGGGTATGTTTTTTTTTTGTTGTTGTTGTTGTTGTTGGAGTCTCACTCTGTCGCACAGTACAGTGGCGCAGCCTTGGCTCTCTGCAAACTCTATTTCTCGGATTCAAGTGATTCTTGTGCCTCAGCCTCCAGAGTTGCTGGAATTACAGGAATGCACTATGAAGCCCAGCTAATTTCTGTATTTTTAGTAGAGATGGGGTTTCGTCATGTAGCCAAGGCTGGTCTCAAACTACTGACCTCAAGTGATCTGCCTGCCTTGGCCTCTCAAAGTGCTGGGATTACAGGTGTGAGCCACCGCTTCTGGCCCAGGGATCTTTCTGTTTCACTAGTGGGCACCACTGTGATATTCACACTCACCAGAAGTGAGCATTTATATCTTTTCTCCTCTGTAAATAGGTACCTCTTAGTGACATGAGTGGAAAGACAGGAAGAAGAATTACAGTTCTTTGATTTTATGCCTTAGCTCTCTGAGATGTATATGGTGCTCCTAAATTAGTATTACACTTTTCTGCTTTGATTTGACATTCCTTGATAGGCAGAGAACACTTGTCTGTGCTCATGTCTCATGTCACCTCTTTTTCCCTTATGGAAAACCTCTTGTGTCTTCCATTTACCCTTCAATAAGGACAGAGATTTAGATATATTCCTAGATTTGTTAATGCTCAATTGATTGTTAACAATTGAGCATTAACAAATTCAAGTTCTCCTCTCTTTAGTTTAAATAATAAACGACATAGGCTAATGAAAACAAAAAGCCAGCTATGTGAATATCAAATTTACTAGTTCTGTGAGGATATTGTTTTTCTCTTTCTTTTTTTACCTCAAAGAATATACTTTGCTTCCCCTGGCATCATGATTTAGTCTTCAACCCATCAGAGTTCCTGCTACTGTTGGTACTTTCCTACTTGAGAAAGTCCACAGAGTGCCTTCTAGACCTCTGTCCTCCTGACATCTTCTATTTCATTTGATATCTAGGAACTCAGAGGCCCTTCATCATTTTCAAACACATCAAGTTATATTTATGGCAAGACCACAATTAATAAAATGTTTCCCAGAATATATGTGTTACATTTAGAGGAAACAGAAGTAGTATTGACTTGTTTCTATCACCAAAGAGGTCTATTTAGTAACTATATTTTGTGGGAATTTTATCCATTCAACAGACATGATTTGAGAGCATACTGTGGAGACCAAACCCTGCCAGTGTAGCAGGTGGTATAATGTGTCTATGTTTGTTATATAATGTGTCTATGTTGATGTGTCTATGTTTGCACACGTGTGTATATGTGTGGGGGGCACTAAGGATGACTTTACAGAGGTTGGAACTTTTGAGCAGAGTTGCCAAGATGAGTGAGAGTTCACTAGGAAAACAGAAAGGAAGTTGATATTTCAAACAGAGAAGCAGCATATGCAGAGACAAAGAGCTCTGAGAGAGTAGATGGATCCAGATTCCTGTTGCTGATAGCATTGTGCAAGATTCTGCTTCAATATGACTAACCTACAGTTTCCTCCAGGTGCTCTACACACTGAGTCCTTGTGTCTTGGCTGAGTGTGTTGGAGAGTTTCCGGAGAGAGCTCTGTGTCAGATGGCCTTGAGGACACTCCAATTTGGCCTTCTGTAAAATTCAGAGTTGAAGTCTTCTCCATGCAAGAGCTCCCTGCTGTCACCTATTGGTTGGAAGATGAGGTGTTGAGGATGGGGCCAGCTTCTGTTTCTGTGGCTAGTACTGAGTTCTGTTATCCTTCCTTTAGGTAAACTATGCCAATGGACTGATGCCTGCCTGTCTCATCCCTGTGCAAATGGAAGCACCTGTACCACTGTGGCCAACCAGTTCTCCTGCAAATGCCTCACAGGCTTCACAGGGCAGAAGTGTGAGACTGATGTCAATGAGTGTGACATTCCAGGACACTGCCAGCATGGTGGCACCTGCCTCAACCTGCCTGGTTCCTACCAGTGCCAGTGCCCTCAGGGCTTCACAGGCCAGTACTGTGATAGCCCGTATGTGCCCTGTGCACCCTCCCCTTGTGCCAATGGAGGCACCTGTCGGCAGACTGGTGACTTCACTTTTGAGTGCAACTGCCTTCCAGGTAAGGAGCTCCCTAGTGTCCCAGGATTAGGGGACAAACTCCTAGCACAGGAGGTGGTGGGTGTGGCTCCGTTGCTTTTTTTAGGAAGCTTCCTAAAGCAGGGAAAAAGGGAAGTGAGAATTTTGTGTGGGGTGGGTTGCTGGTAAGGGAGGAGTTTTATGGGCCCACTGTGGTCCATAAACTGAGCAGGGGGTAATTTAGCATGTCAAGGTTTATGATGATGAGTGGCTAGAAAATTGTTTATTGTCCCTTTTGTAGAAACAGTGAGAAATAAGAGGAACAGAGCTCTGGGAAAGAGACAGGCAAGTCTGGAATGGAAAAGAACAGGATGAGAATTAGACGTTGGAAAATATGTATGGGTGGTTAATAAAGTGCTTTAAATTGAATTGACATTAACAGTGGGTGATCAGTTTTCCTATGTGCTTTCACATTTGATGGAGTGATTCATTGTTTTCTTGTTCACCTAAATGCACCCAACTGCCCTTTCATGATTTTCCCTGGGCTACTGGCCTTCACAACCCGCTCCCATGTACCCTCTCTGACTTTGGGGTAACCCTGCCCTAACTTAAAGCTAGAGAATTCTGAAACTGAGGAGGGGGTCCTGTGATAATCAATGAGCACTTTTTAATGAGCTGATAGTTGGTGTATGAGAGACTACACATGGCACAATACTTTGTTACACTCTTCACTGGTACAAGTGTCTTAGAGTGCACACACAACCCAAAGATAGAAACAAAAAGAACAGTGTCAGGGAGCTTGGGGCCTCTGGTGTTCCATGGAGAGGGAATAAGGAGCAAGCCTGGCCAATTCATTCAACTCCTTATAAAAATGATGAGGAGGCTAAAAACCAAAAATTTTGATTGGGAACAGAATATAAGCAGCTGGAGCAGATGAATTACCAAGCAACAAAGATCCTGTTTTTATACAAATATCCTTAGTACAAAAACAAAAGAAGGAAAACTGTAGGGGGGAATAATGTGCTAAGTAAGCAGAATTGCCTCAAAAAGAAGTTGTTCTAGCTACTCTTTCAGAGTGGGAATCTTAGATTCTGGTATTGTGGATATGGTTCACATATAATGGGATTGTGTGTTTTATTTTGGGGGGATTAAAGGTCATAGGTTGGGTCTCAGTGTAAAATCAACTGGTAATTTATTCATTTAATTTGGTAAAAATGTATTGACTGCCTGCTATGTTCTAGGCACCATGCTATGTATTTGGAATACAGCTATACAAAGCATTGCCACATAACTGAAATGAAAACTTTATATTATTTAACTAAGTCACAAGAACAAGCTACTTAATTGTATTACTTTTAGTTTCTCTTTTAATAAAGATGATGTCATTCTTGATACTAAATAAATGTTTATTAACATAATATTACTATCCACTTTATCTTGTAGAAGAAATAACTAAAAGGCATCTGTCTTCACGCCTGTATTTGTTTGCATTTTAAGGGTTAAAGACAGAAATAGAAATGTAAACAACTTTATTTTGAAAATATTGCAAGTGTTCTATGAGTCTGATATTCTAGTAATCTAATTGACTAGTAACCGATGTTAGTATGATTTATTGTTGAAGGCTAAATGTGTTTTTCAGTTTCAAGAAAATTACTTTTAATAGTTGCCTAGAACAAGAGGTTGATTTGGCAGCAAGATGTTGACGGGAAGTTAGAGAAGTCAATAAAGGAAGTTTTTAGCTGAGAGAGAGTGATTATTTACTCCCATAGCCTCTGCATTGTTACCCATTAGCCACGATAAGAACCTTAGGGAATTCTGAGAGTGTGTCCAGGAAAGGATCTGTCAAACTAGAATAGTATCTCCTCCTTGAGAAAGGAAATAACCAAGGATTCCACGGCTGAGAGGCTGCCAGGGCTAGTGAAATAGAGTAAGGAAATCTTGGCTGTCTCTTATTCTACTTGTAGTTTAAAGCAAGAAGACATTTATTTACTCACTAATGGGGGGAGGTGTGTGTGTGGGAGGGGAGATTAGCATGAGGGGTGGGGATGGGGAGATTTGGTGAAGAGAAAACTAACATTTTTTTTTGGTGGCTCAGGAACTATGCCAGGTACTTCCATGCTTATTAGCTCAATTACACAAAAATCTTGGGAACAGGTATCATTTTTCAAGTTTTCCCACATGAAGTAGCTGAAGTTTGAAGCTGTTAAGTGATTTACCCAAAGTTGTACAGCCAATATGTGGTTCGGCTGGGTCCTGAAACCCAGGCAGTTTATTTTCAAAGCCTTTGCTTTGTGCATCTTACTGTGCCACATGCACGTCCGCTTCCTGAAAATACTTTGTAGGTGTGTAAAACTTTTTGTTCAATGCTTTGAGCTGTTTGGGTTAAAAATATATGTTCATGTTATGAGAAAAACAAGATACTTCTAATTGTAATCAAATAGTACTTGTTATATATCAATATATATATATATATATATATATATATATATATGTATATAGCATTGATTGTGCAGATGTTTAAAAGTAGTTACATAGACGAGTTCTTACTTTTCAGGGTCCCATAATCTAAAACAGATGACTTCAGCTTTGAATAAATATGTAGAAAGAAAATTAAAGACAATTCAAAACAATAGATGATGTAGTGACACTGTGAATAAATGTTATTTATATAATTTGTAAGATTTTATGCTCCTTGTTCCTATGTCCCAGGTGGAGTTCAGAAAATATCACTTTATTTCCATAAAAGGAAATGGTGCCTAGAGATGCTTTTCTTTTAAAAAGTCATTTTCATAATGCAGTGCCCTTCCTTCCATTGCCCTTCCTTCCATTGCTCCCCATGCTTGTAAAGAGACTAAAATGTTACTTAGAGTAATAGTTACTATCTCAATGTAAATAGCACCTTATTTGAAAAGAATTATTATTTCAGTGATAAAAAAGGGGAAACAAAGTCAGCAGGAGGCAAAGTAGCTTGTTAAAGTTTTCTGCAACTCCTAAATGGTTGCTTCTACTGCATTTCACGTCTTTGCATTTCTAATTGAGGCTTACCATAACCACCCTATTTAAAATTGTAACCGTCCCCCATCCCCTTAATTACTAACCCTGGTCTACTTTTTGTTTTCTTTTTCTGTAACTCTTATCTTTTTACTATATAATTTATACCATGTAATTTACTTCATTATGTCTATTGTTTATTGTCTGTCTTTTCCAAATTCTACTGCCTCTTACCCTTTCCAGAATGAAAACTAGGATCTTTGTTTTTGTTTACTGATGTATCCCAAACACCTACAAACAGTGCCCAGTATATGCTAGGCCTGCAAATATGTATTGGCTGACTGACTGTATGTTAGTATCTCATCATAGTATTGAGAATGCAACTTTGGTCTTCTCAGTTTTTTCTTTGTATTGTGCATCCTAAACTTAGTTTAGCCTCTCCTTTTGTCCTTGTATACTCTAATATGGGATGAGAATTTTGGAGTCGTTTTCAACTCTTGAGTCAGTGAATGCCACATAACTTAGTGACTATGTTTAAATGGTTAAGTTACAATTCTTTTCTTGCAAAGGATACTGTAGTCACTGTGAATATATTTTAATATTATTGTATGACTCAGGAGGGAATTAAAACTACAAAAATGACTCATCTTGTATGACAGAAATGTTTCTTCACGGAGGGAGGAGAAAAATAACTTCAAGAGAGAACTAATAGAATCAAATCAATGAACCACATCTTATCTTCTTTTTGAATAAGTAACTGTTAGAAATCCAGACATTTCATGAACTTTCTTTATGTAAAGTCTTTAGCAGAAGCTACAGGAGGGGCACCCAGCCACAGTAATTTTAATTTAAGAACAAAATGGAATATGAAAATAAATTATTAAATCATTCACTCCCAGTATTTTTGGGTTAGGGCCAATAATGGGAAGAGAAAGAGGTAGACTAGTTTTGTGTTTGTGGCTATTTTAATAAAGTAGCACAAGTAATCAGAAAACAGTAGGCTGTTTTGAATTTACTGGCTGTGACTTATGAGTTCACAGTTTGATAGGACTGTCCTCAATGTACTTTCTTTTCTTCTTTCTTTCCCACATCTCTTTATTCCTCTGATTTTGTTTAAACCTCATGAAGAGCTCTCTGATCTTTCCTTTCCAAACAGTGAAGGCTTAGCCTTTGTAAAACACCTTTGTACTCCACAGGCTAATGGTACGTGATATCCCTATATCATTAAAGTAAAGCTTAAGCACATTTTCTGGCCTTTGTGTCTACTCTGTTGTTGCTGAGCTTAAGAACTGTTAGAAATAATTCCCTCTTGCATTTTCACACTTGGGGAATGTGACGTTCTCTTGGGTATTATGCTAATCATATTTTGGCAGATTTCTTTGGAACAGATGCAGAAATGATCATACCACTCTCCAGGGTGTATTATTTTAGCTCCTTTGACTTGGGCCCAAAGTCTGTTTTACCTGATGTTCCAGAAAGATGTTCCTGATGTCCCTCACTGTTCTCTCATGGTGGATGTTCTTGCCTATGCTGCCTCCTCTGCTTTCTATCACCCTCTTCTCTTTTTTAAATATATAACTCATTCTTAATGATTTGTGAAAGGCACTCTGTTTCACTGAAATGCCTTCTATATTCCCTACCCTCCATGTGGACTGGAGACCTTCTAAGGTCTTTTGACATCTGCATATCTCTAGCACAGTGCTTATCACGGTAATTATTTATCTGTTCACCTTTCCAAGTAGAAACTCTCATTTTAACTCCCTACCTTAGTCCCCAGCATCCCCAGCGTAGTGCCTGCCATAAAATGGAGCCTCAATGAATATTTTGAAAATGAATGAATGGACTGTGGTAAACAGAGGAGAATTCCTATATTCTACAATTTTTAAAATGTACTGAAATTATTCTCTTTGAATCCTCCTATTTATTTCTTTGACTTATTTGGTGACAAAGTTAGAAAAAAGTGGAGGAAGATATCAAGGGAAGCAGGTGTAAGCAGCGAGCTTGGGGTGGGGGTAATGGGGAGATATGTGGCACAGTCACAGGGGTCTGTGAGCTAATCTGGACTCATTCAGATAATGGAAGATGTGTGCCAAGAAAACTGGTTGGATAGGGAAAGGCCAGGAATTCCCTCTTGCATTCTCACACTTCTTTGGGGCATGAGTCATTTTCTTTTCTTTTTCTTTTTTTTTCGTGTGTGTGTGTGTGTGTGTGTGTGTGTGTGAGAGAGAGAGAGAGAGAGAGAGAGAGAGAGAGATTGAGAGAGAGAGAGAGAGGGTCTTACTCTGTCACCCAGGCTGGAGTGCAGTGGCGTGATCTTGGCTCGCTGCAACCTCCACTTCTGGGTTCAAGCTATTCTCATGTCTCAGCCTCCCAAGTAGCTGGGATTACAGGTGGCTGCCACCATGCCCAGCTAATTTTTTGTATTTTTAGTAGAGACGATGTTTTCTCCATGTTGGTCAGGTTGGCCTTGAACTCCTGACCTCAGGTGATCCACCCACCTCGGCCTCTCAAAAGTGCTGGGATTACAGGCGTGAGCCACTGCGCCCGGCTGTTGTGTCTTTTTCTTGGGTGTTACACTGAGTGTATATTGGCAGGTTTGCTTTGTGATAGACTTCTAATGGGGGAAAAAGCTACCCTTGTGTCTTTTTATCTTTGTTTAGTTCCAGGTATTCCTGTTTTTTTTTTTTTTTCTTCACTCTTTCTTCTGTGGGAGAGGGAAGAAACTCTTTCTTCACTCTTTCATGGGAACTTTTCTTGAAGACTTTGAGCCCAGCTTGGGAGAATCCTGGTTGTGTCATTTTATCTCCTTTCTGCTCTCATCTTGTTTTTCTCTACCTAGGCTTTCCACCCTCACACCTCCCAGGGTCTGAAAATGGAAAGATAAGGGTGTTTCCTTGAAATATGCTGTTCTATGTGGGGCCGACAGGTTTGAAAAACGTTTTTCTGTTCCCTGCCCTCATTGCCATCATTAATCAGTTAAGTGGCCCATGGTTTTGTAACAGCACAGTCTTAAAATGCTTCTCTGGAGTTTAATTTCTCTCCATTTGACCTTTTAAGGATGTGAATTGGCTTTAAGCAGTAGACTCCCTTTAGCCTCTCTGTGAATCAGCTACACCCATCCCACCCACGGGTCTGGAAACTTGTCTGTTTACCTTTCCCTAAAAACTTAAGATATATTTTTAAGAAGTGCCTTGTAACTTTTCATATAGTCATTCCCTTGCTTTGGGTAGACTGTTTCTTACAAGAATTTGGTTGATCTTTCCAAAAAGTTCTGTATCTCTATTTTTAAACCATAAATCCTGTCTTAATTTTGGAGGAGAACTGATTTGGCTTGGATTTTCTCAGACATGGGAACTTTTGACCGAAGTTTGTGTTTTTACATTGTCAAAAGGGAACTCCTGGATCCCAGAAAACATATGGACTGCAATTGGGTAAAGTTTCTGGTTAAGTACTTATTCCTACTTATTAGCCATTTAATTTTGGGCAAGTCAGCCATGCGGCCCTCAACTTCCTCATCTGTAGCATAAAAGGATTAGACCATCTCCAAGGGTTGCCATAATACCACTAACAAATATTAATATTAGCTAATATGTGTAAGACACTGTGTTTAGTGTGTTTTCCCTTAATACAATAGCTTTATTGAGATATAATTTATATACCATACAATTTACTTTTTAAAAAAGTACACAATTAAAAAATTTTAGTATATTCCCAGATTGAAGTAGCAATCATCACAAACAATTTTAGAATATTTTTATACTTAAAAAGAAACCCTTTACCCATTATCAATTACTCTCCATTCCTCCTAACTCCCTCTCAGCCCTGGTAGGCAACTACTAGTCTGTTTTCTGTCTCTATTTGCCTCTTCCGGATATTTCATACAAATGGAAGCATGCAGCATGTAGTAATTTGTGGTAGCTTCTTTCACTTAGCATGAAGTTTTCAAAGTTCATTCATGTGGTCGCATATATCAGTACTTCATTCCTTTTCATGGCTGAATAACATTTGATCATATGGATTTACCACATTTTATCATTTTATTTATTATCAGTTGATTGACATTTGAGTTGATTCTACTTTTTGAGTATTATGAATAATACTGTTATAAACATTCTTGTATAATTTTTTGGTGGACATATATCTTCATATTTCTTGGGTATATACATAGGAACAGAATTGCTGTATCAGATGGTAATGGCATTTAACCTTTTCAGGAACTGTCAAACTATTCTGAAGTGGGTACATTCCAAACAGCAGTATATGTGAGTTCCAGTTTCTCCACATCCTCATCAACACTTGTTATTGTCTGTCTTCTTTATTATATTCATCCATAATATGAAGTGTTTATCTCATTGTGGTTTTGATTTACATTTCCCTGATGATTGATGATTTTGAACATCTTTTCTTATGCTTATTAGTAATTATGTATCTTCTTTGGAGAATGTCTCTTCAGATCCTTTACCTACTTTATAACTGGATTATCTTTTTACTATTAAACTGTAATAATTTTTTAATATATCCTAAATACAAGTTTCTTATCAGATAATACGATTTGCAAATATTTTCTGTCATTCTGCTTGCTCTCTTTTCACTTTCTTGATGATATCCTTTTCTGCCCAAATGTTTTTAACTTGATGAAATACAATTTATTTTTTCTTTTGTTGCTTGTGCTTTTGGTCATATTTGTGGAAGCTTTGCTCATCCCAAGTTACAAGGATTTACTATTTCTAAGTGATTTATCATTTTAGTGCCTACCTTTAGCTCTTCAATCCATTTTGAGTTAATTTTTATGTGTGAGGATGGAGTCTAACTTCATTCTTTTGCATGTGGATATTTAGTTGTCCCAGGACCATTTGTTGAATTAAGTTCTGTTTATCTAATTCATGTAATGTTTATGATAACCCTTTAAGGTAGGTCCTGTTAATTCCCTAAGAAAGTTTAAGTATCTTCCCCAGGTTCACTCAGTTATTGCATGGCAAGGCTGAGAGTTAAACCTAGGCTGTTTGGCCCCATGCTTTTAGCCATGAAATAACTGTCTTTTCTACCTCCCTTCTTACCTACCTACCTATTGACAGGGAAGAAGTACCTCAACAGTAGTCAATCAGTTATAAAAAGCAAACACTTTGTTTCTTTTCTGTTGTGGTTATGCTGAAATGCCTCTGCTTTTTTAATTTGCCTGTGTTTGGTGAATTCAGTTAGTTGTAACATTGGCTAATATAGAGTCACAGTTTCTATTCCTTATATTTTAGCTACAAAGTCTTTACTGCCTCCCCAAAACCCTAGTCAACTGTATTTAGTCTTACTCATCAGAGAGATCAAGTTAGGGGGAGGATGGTCATCCACATTCTGGTACACCACCAAACCTCTCAAGTTTAACAGTGGTAGGCCAGGAACCCTATTTCCCCAACAATCTAAAACTAATCTAAACATTTCCAAAGAATATCTTCATGAAGAGCAGCAGACTAGGAGCAAAGACCCTAGTTCAAGGACCTGGTAGGCGCAGGATGCTGCAGGGTGGGCTTCAGTGGTTCATCATTTTCTGGCTTGTTAGTCTATTTGTAAGACTCATGTTTCTGTATGAGTAATATGATACATTTTAAAAATTTGAGTATATTTTCAGTCTTTTTCAGGCTTGCTTAATGATTCATCTGCTTAAATGGACTGAGTACCAAATACTTGGAGAAATATAATTTTCTTCAATAAAGCCTTCAGTGATTTCTGTCTTCCATAGAGTGATTTCTTTTGATTTTTACCTAATGTTTTTGGTCACTCCATTTATACTTATTTACGTGTCTGCCATTGTGTTAAGAGAAACCAGTCATGGTCTAGTGTAGCAGAGCAGGTGTAGAATACCACAGAAACTTATAGTAGGGAGTAAAGCAGAGTGTGGTTGACGTCTGTCCCACTCATCAGGCTGTAAATGCCACAAAAGCAGGGACTCAGTGCTGTATCACCAGTGCGTAATGTAAGACCCAATAAGTATTTTGAGTGAGAGAGAGGAACCTTAAGGGAGATTTTGAGGAAGCCAAATATGTAATCATACTATATTCAAATAGGAGAATATTTAGAATAGAAGCTGGTAGTCTTCTGTTTAATTAGCTCAGGGGTTTGGTAGCAAGGAAGGAGAAAGGAAGAAGCCCAAAATGTAAACTACAGAGAACCACAATGTGGACAGTTAGAGTGAAGTTTGGTGTGCTAGTTTCATTTTTCATACAAGAAAAAATCAAGAGGAAGGAAGCAGTGCTATAAGTTTAGAGAAGAGCCTGATGAATTAGAAATGCTGGCAAGCTTAATTAGTAATAATGCCACCCAATTTTCAGATACCTTTTAACATTTGTATAGCACTTTACTCATGGTGTGGCAGTTATAATTTGAAAGACAGGCTAGGCCAGTGGAATTAGCCGCATTTTTTACAGGTGAGGAAGCTGATGCAGAACTTTAGCTTACCATGCACTAATAGCATGCAGGTGCTGAGATTGAGACTTGACCCATTCTTCACACTTTAAGCTCAATGTTTTTCCTATCTCCTCCCCCTCTTTCTTCCCCAACTGGCTTGGAGGCTTCCTAGCAATCATTCAAAGAAAAAAAAATAAAAGGAACTTAAATTTAATTAGGTGATTTTTAATCTGTTCTTCCCATTAGTCTGGTGTGGAGCTGGGGAAAATCTAATACCCTGTGTTTTTTAGAATCAGTGAATATCTCTGTCCCAAGTAGACATTTATTACCCCTGGGATTTTATTTCATGAAAACATTTTGAAATGCTTGTGAGGTGACTATGAAGGCATGCCATTGGCACAGTGAGTCATTTCACTGTCTAGCTATGCTTGAGGCCAGAGAAAATTGGGGATTTTTCATATGGTAAGTCCTGGGTGAGCAGCTGTTGAACTGAAGTCATGAAGCAGGTCTATTCTAATTAATAACCATGTTTTGTGGGAACAGAGCAGGTTGTTTCTTCTGTATGAGATTCCATCATTTTGTTTTGTTCTTCATTTACCAGGTTTTGAAGGGAACACCTGTGAGAAGAATATTGATGACTGCCCTAACCATAAATGTCAGAATGGAGGAGTTTGTGTGGATGGGGTCAACACTTACAACTGCCGTTGTCCTCCACAATGGACAGGTATGTACAGTGTGGAGAATCCACCAGAATGGGGTATGGATTGGTAACCAGAAGAGGACTGTTTTTTAAAATATCAGTAACAAATATAGGTCTGCTCTGGGACCAGTGTATGAACTGAGCAGGGTCTCCATGCTAGGTCATTGCTTGTTGTGCTAACCTCATACATTCTCCTGTGTTCACTCAAGGACATTTTCACAGGTATTATTGGGCAGCAACTCTGAACTCAGCACCATGCTAGATGCTGTGGCAGGTATGAGAGAAGAGCATTACTGGTGCAACCTAAGCTTATTATCTGTGAAAAGCAGCATATTACCTAGAACATTACTAGAACATAGTAGATGCGTAATAAATATTAAAGAGGAAAAAGAATCCTGAAATGGTAAAATAAATTGTACAGGCTGTAAGAGGTCAGAGCTTATTGTTTGTTCATGGACAGAAATCTGTCCCATCTTAATGTCATGTCCTATAACTAGGCAAAGTGTTGGACAGGTAGTCTTAATGACATTATTTTTATGATATGCATCTTACATTTTTTTTCTATCCCTTTTTGCACACATAACAAAAATGTGTTTTTTTTTTTTCCCTCTGACATTAGAAGAATAGTCTTGCTTAATTTTACAGCCTCTTGGAAGTTTCTCATGTAGTCGTAGGCAGGTTGAGTGAGTTGTGCAGGCACGTGGTTCTTATTTCTCCTTGTATCTGTTTATCTACTGAAAGTAGAGATAATTAAGAACTGATTAAGGGACTAAGAGTTGGGCCTTTTTGAGAGAAATTAATTTAATGTGGAAACCAAGCGGGAAGTTAGTATCATAAGAAAAAAATACAGTGATGGACTGTCCTCTACAAAGAAAGTTTGATGCTGAGTGCAGCTGTTACTACCTGGTATTTTTTAGTGTCTCTGATGCGCTTTTTAAAATCTGTAGCCGCTAATTATTTAGAGTACTCTTTAGAGCTATAGGCTATGAATAGACAAAGATAAAAAGTGTTTAAAAATCCGGTAACATGACTTCCTGGGAGGCCAAACATTTCTGCTTTTAATCCCCAAACTGTTCCTTTTAATACCTTCTCATCAGGTTTTCCTAGAATTGGGATATCCCCTAGAATTTCTTCATGGGGTCTTGATCCTAGAACTTCACTTCCTACCCCTCTGTACTTTTTGTCATATTCTCCCTTCTAGTTTTTGCCATTTATCTATGGTAGATTTTTCAGAGGCTATTTTTTTCAACCTAAAAAATTACTGTAATTAAATGATAAATAGTAACTAATTACATGACAAAAATAGGAAAAATTTGTTTTTGTTTTCCTCTTTTTAATGATCCTTACAGTATTGGACAGGATGAGATACTTGCTAAGAACTTGACTAAGGCTGGGCGCGGTGGCTCACGCCTGTAATCCCAGCACTTTGGGAGGCCAAGGTGGGTGGATCACAAAGTCAGGAGATTGAGACCAGCCTGACCAACATGGTGAAACCTCGTCTCTACTAAAAATACAAAAATTAACTGGGCCTGGTGTCACGTGCCTGTAATCCCAGCTACTTAGGGGGCTGAGGCAGGAGAATTGCCTGAACCTGGGAGGTGGAGATTGCAGTGAGCTAAGATTGTGCCACTGCACTTCAGCCTGGGCAACAGAGTGAGACTTTGTCTCAAAAAAAAAAAAAAGAACTTGACTACATTCTGATTTCTCCCGTGTTCTGTGAGAGAGTGACTGCGTAGTACTGAGGCTTCTGATGCCAGTGAAGATTACGGAATCTTCTGAAGCATTTTTATATCGTTGCTTGTTTCTTTTTGATACCACATTTGGTTTCTTGCTTTTATATTAATTAGGAAGGCTTTCTCTTGGGGGAAACTTTCCCAGTGAAATGATATTTTATTCAAATTTCTTAGCCCAGGACATTTAATAAATGCCTCTCTTTGATAGAAGTCCTTATAAGATGTTTCTGTTTTTATATTTTCCAAAAAGGGTGGAGGAGGTCATGGATAAGTTTAATGTGGCAATTTTATTTCCTTTGATCTGCTGTCTGTCATTTAGAGTGACCGTCAGTGTTTTGTTACTCATCACAGGTTTTCTTCTTCACTCATACCAATTCTTTGATTCCCAATGACAAGCTTTGTTTTTGCCCTGCTCATCACGCACAGGATAAAGTCTAAGGTCCTTCCTCTGTTATATGAAGCCTTTCATGGCCTCAGCCCTGTCTGCTTCCCCAGTCTCTGTCTCATGCATCTAGCAGCATACCCTAGCAGTTCTCTGCTCCCAGTTCTCCTGTATGTACTGCATAGTGCTTCACATCCTGTGTCTTCATTGATACCATTCCTTTTCTCTAGGTTTTCCTTCTCCACTCCTCCCTCATTTTTCTCTTCATTTTTTGCATGCCTGACTGAGATCAAGTGGTTACCCCCTTCAGGAAGGCTTCCCTGATATCTCTCCAGGCTGAGCTAAATGTTCTCTGAACTCCCTTAGTACCCCGCGTATTCCCCCATGATAACACTTACTACTTTTATATTGGTATTATTGTATGCTTGATGTGAGGGATATACCAAGTTATGGAGCAGTTGGACTATTGATGACAGCAGTTTCTAGCACTTTTTACAGACCTTTGTTCTCAGTAGCATGTAGCTGAGCTATTTACCATCCCAGCCCCATCCCATCTGTCTTTCTCTGTAAAGAGAAAAACAGAAGGAAAATTTTGTGTCATAAGGTCTCTATTTCTACTGATATTAGATCTATAAATTCAGATTAGTATTTTCTGTGTTACACAAATTAAAGAAATGAACAGAGCAGCAATCTAATAGGAGTTGACTAATGTTTATTAGCATCCAAATAGTGTGCTAATTACAATGTTTAATTTTGTATAATCTTTGCAATAACTCTGTTAGACACAGAGTTTAAATATCTGTTTTTTCAGATGATGATGCATATTTAAAGGGTTAAATAATTTGCCCAAGACGCATAGTGGTTGGGTTAGGGTTTGAATCTAGGCTTGTTGAACTCCAAATATGTGCTCAAATCTGTGGTCTTTTTTCTATAAAAAATTGATTTTATGAGTTGTCTTTGTTTATTTTAAAAACTTGGGTCTTTTTAATAGACTGAATGTTTCATTTATAATTTCATTATGCTAAGATTTGGTGATTTAGTCCTTGTGTTTTCCTTTTTAAGAACGTAGCTGGTTACTTTGAGGTTAGAAGTTAACATTATGTGAATGCTTTGGATTCAGTCTGATGCATTTTCACTGGGCCTTATTACAACTTTGTTCAGAATTCCTTTTACAATTTCCAACTGTACAGTGGAAGCATTAACTATTTGATCTGGCTTTTGACAAAATGATAAAGGAGGGGATGGGGCAGTGAGGTGAGGAAGTGAAGTTGCCAGCTATCTGAAAAAGAATGACTATGACTACGTGGCTGACAAAGGGCATTAATTTTAAACAAATGGAGATTTGGAAATTTGCCATGCTTTTAATGAGAAGAGCCCGATAGTTATGACTTTATTTTGTAAGTACATATACATAAAAGACTCGGTGTGTTGTAGCAAGTTCTAGACTTCAAGATGAGCAGAAATTTTTCCAACTCTATTCATGGTTTGATTTATGGTAAGTCAGCCTCCTTTTCTCAGAAGCCTTTATTTGCTATTATCTCTTTCTTGGGACGTTGAAACAATTAAAAAATGCAATAAAAAGTTTATCTTTTTATTTGTTCTGCAAACAGCTATTATGCTGAACATTCTCAATTCTATATGTTCTATATGGTGGCCACTAGTTTCATCTTGCTATTGAGCATCTGAAATATGGCTAATTGACAGTTACAACACATCTCAGTTATGGCCAAGCACGGTGGCTCAGGCCTCTCTAATCCCAGCACTTTGGGAAGCTTAGATGAGTGGATTTCTTGGGCCCAGGAGTTTGAGATCAGCCTGTATAACATGGCAAAACCCTGTCTCTACAAAAAATACTAAATTAGCTGGGTGCGGTGCCATGCACCTGTAGTTCTGGCCACTCTGGAGGCTAAAGTAGGAGAATCACCTGATCTCAGGAGGTTGAGGTTTCAGTCAGTTGTGATGATACCGCTGCACATACCACCCTGGAGGACAGAGCAAGACCAAGACCCTGTGTCAAAAAAAAAAAAAAAAGGAAAGAAGGAAAAAGAAAAAAGGACTTCATATGGGGAAAAAAAAGATATCTTTTTAATAACGTTTAAATGTTGATGAGATGCTGAAATAACACATTTTGGTACATTGAATTAAATACAATATAAAACTGAGTTTCCCCTATTCCTTTTTAAATATTTTAGTAGCCACCGGAAAATTTGAAATTATGTCTGTGACTCTCACTATATTCCAGTTGGGCAGCATTATTTCAGATGCAAACATGGTCTGTAGGTGTTACCATTGCTGCTGCTCTGTGGGAGCATCTGTTCTAGCCCTGAGGTAGAGGAATGGATGGTTTCCCCGTTGCCTATGGCGGAACTCTGTTATACCCCGCTGCAGGCATTTTAACCTACTTGGCTGTCTAATTAGTGTTTGTTTGTGGCTTCCAAAACTCTCACTCTTGTGGACTAGCTTAAGCTCAGATGGAAAAAAGGAATTGGTTTTAGAGAGTGTGTGTGTGGAGATGATTTACTTCTTTATATGAATTGTTTTATAGGGATAAGCCTAAATACCTGGATGTTTCTTTAGGAAATAGAAATAGACCTGAGGGTTGGATGAAGATAGAGCACAAATGTCTTTACTATACTGTATTTGGCCTCAGGCCATCTTATCAGAGAATTTGTACTCTGGCAGAGATCTACATGACAAAGAAAAGAGAGGTTTTAAAGACCCCAACACGTATTAGAGCAATGTAGATTAATGGTTTGTCTACATAGATTGTTATTTGATTTTTTTAAAAGTTCACTTCCTTCAGAATTAAAGTTGACCCAAAGCTCAACTCACAAATTCCTCTCTGTGGCTGCTTTTGACTTTGAGCTCACTTCTGGGGCAGATGTGATTTATTTTCCTGTGCTTGTTAT